GCTATGCGGGAGCCAGGCAGGATGAAAAGCAAACCTGCTCACCTTATCACTACATGAAGTTACAGAATGAGTAAGGTTGTGAGAGGCTTGATGGCAGGATGGAACTGATGAACAATGAAAAGGCAAATTGCAGGACAGCTGATTTTGGGTGGTTTGGAACTTGTACCTGATTAGGGTCTCTGGAGAGTCACTTGGCACCACACCTGTCTTACCTCACAGGCACTAAGTACAAGGAGACAGTCTATACAACCAGATTTTGATGTCTATCCTGCCATACTCACTTTTTATGAAGCAAAGCCTTTTTTTATATTACATATCCATGAAAAGCCCATCTCAATAGAAATAGAACATTCTCAGAGTTTGGGGATAAGGGGGGCAGGAGGGAGCACTTTCTGAGCTCAAAGTCACCCAGGTACTTTTAGAGGAACAGAAGAATTTATTATTTTGTACTTTGGACTGTCTCCAGTTTACAACTTGTGGGAAAATAGGATCCCTTCGTATGCAGTTTAATATTCCTCCTTAAACAGATTTTGAAAAGGCATAGTTCTTTGTCAGCAGAATGCTTGCTAATGCAGTACTTTGGTCACAACAGGAAGTATGTGGAAATTATAGTTTACAGTGTGAAATGGAAAAGCATGCGGCTTTTATCTTAATGTAAGCATATCTATAAGTAGCTGGAATTGAATTAAGTGTCTACTTATGATGCAACCTTTACAGGAAACTTCATCTAAAATAGATGGAGCTGTGAAATTACTGGTTGTTGGAACCTGGCATCATCAAATCTTATAGTTAAGTCATTTGAAACCAATATAAACTTTCCTGTGTTTCTTTTAACCTAATACTTTTTCTCATATTCTACATATTTAAAATTACTCATTATTTTTGCAAAATCTAAGCATTCTGCACAACTATACCTATACAAACATGATTTTTTAAAAAATGGTGTCTCAGCCCCCAGCACTCTTTGTGGAAGACCCACCCCCATCCTCTTCATTTGAGAAGTGGCTCAAACACTACTGGACTTCAGTAGTCTCTTTACAGACAAAGCATATCACTCCATAGCCACATCTTGTGTCAATTTTTTTTCAAGCAACCAACTGTATAAATCTCAGTCCTGGAGGGGAGGTTTGAGAGAAATGGAAGGACAGGAACTAATAATTAGATAAACTTTGAAAGAAAATATCATAATAAAAGCCATTGGCAAAATCTACCCCATAAACCAAAATTTTTAAACTATCAATTTCAAGACATGAATTGTTCTGGAATTCAGCCAGCCACCATTAAAGTATCAGTTCAGTTTTCACAGACACATATTTAATGACCAAATGGCCTGACATCATTATCTCCAATCTTATAAAATAGAACAGCCAAATTCTTCCAGCTTTAAACAATTCCAAGTTTATATCAAAGCTGTTAACCTGTGAGCTAAACCCTCCCTGATATCCTTGACCTGTAAAGTACTTCTTAAAGAATAAATTGTGCTTCTCTTGGAGTCCAAATTCTAAGATAGGGCTGGGCAATTGGACATAAAAAACTGTAAGAACCCACAGGTCCATGCAGGAACCCCAAATATATTCACCAATCAAGGGGCTCTGATAAGTGAAAACTTTATTGTGTTTTCTGGCTATGAAGGTGAACTCAGATATCCCTAACAACTTTGTAACTGCTTTTTACAAATCTTTATATAAAATGAAGAAATATCAATCTCCTTTCTCTGCAGATGGGATATTCATTATTTCTCTATTAATCATGTGGTCCAATAGTTACTTATTATTGACAATTCCCTAATGTGCTTGAATTATCAATGGATGAAAAGTCAAGTAAAATTATACTATGTTACTTGTGTTTTTAAACTTTTGTCTGTAGAAAATGTCAATAATTACTTTTCCAGCTGTCTCTCATAAACGCCTTCATTCTCTTTGATCTCCTCCCAACAGACAATAAAAAAAACTCTGAGAAGTCCATTCACCTCTTTCAGTCACTAAAGCTGGTGCTTAGCAGCCACTCGTCCTTCCTCCTGGCTGGCCTTTTTCTGAGAAAAACTGACAGAACCTCAACAAAGTTAACGTCTGATTCTTCTTCTTTCCCCTCCCACCCTTCCTGGGAAACAATGCTAATCATGACTTCAACCTCTTGCTGGATTCCATTTCACCTTTTAAGTTCCCCCTCTACATCTTCACTGGAATCTGTCAGTTTCTGTAAACAATTCATTCTGTCTTAACATTTTAACCCCATGCCTTTGATTCTTCTTTATTTCATCTATTTTGTCATAAACTTTTCAGCATCAAGGCATAGACAGATAAGTAAAAAAAAAATTATTTCAGGGAAGATAAGCATCCTAGCCATCACTTTTATATCTCATTTTTTTTATAAATGTGTAATGAGTTAGCTTAAACTAAGTATGCTATTAAGACAAGGGAAATGAACTTTTCTTAACAGCAAAGTTGCTTCCTCATGGTCTCTGTCCCATCCCCACCCCAACCCACTCATGGTCGTCTTATCATCTCCTCCCACCCCGAGAAGGCTGGACTGTTCATAGATTCATTGAAGCTCTTCCTTTTATCACTGGGGACTGAGTTTTATCACTGAGCATGTTAGTTAAATGCCATTTCTCATTTTTTAAATTAGTACCCTCACAGAGTTCGTTAGAACATCATTTTCTTTACTGTAGTCTTTTACCATTTCTGTAGGCAGAGACTGCTCATTCATTTCTCGACTGCTCAGACCCAAATAATCACACAGAAATGATATTAATTACAACACTGTTTGGTTTATTAGCTCAGACTTCTTATTAACTAACTCTTACATCTTAAATTACCCATTTCTATCAATCACTGATCACTGTGAGGCTATGGCCTACTGGTAAAAGTTCTGGGGTATCTGTCAGCTTCAGCAGCTACATGACATCTCTTTGATTCCGCCTACTCTCTATATATCTCTGTTCGGATTTCCCACCTGGCTGTACTCTGCTAAGCCATTGGGTGAAACAGCTTTTTTTATTAACCAGTGGTAATAAAACAAATTCATAGTATAATAGGGGAATCCCACATCATCTCCCCTTTTCTGTCTAAATAAAAGAGAAGGTTTTAACTTTAACAACATAATATTTACATATAACAAAACAGGTATCAAGCAAGAATTATAATTACAATATTTTTGCGAGTCTAAAGTTTCATATCTAATTCTTCATCACAACTAAGGAAAACTATAACTATCTGTCTTCAGTTCTTCAAAGATCCCAGAAGGAAATCATATTACCTATGAAAACAGGAAGTAAATTGTAAGCAACTTCCAAAACTCTAAATTGACAGAGACATCTAGCCACCTGGACAGTTACCCAGTTTTTCTGTACCATTTGGGGCATCTATCTTCAGCCTACAGGCCCACACTATCCAGCAGGCTTTGTTATAAAGCAGGAAATTTGAAAGGCTGTTTCACCTTTGTTGGCAGTATCAGTCACCTTCTTTTGTATCCTTCAGAATGTCTGGCAGTTTCTTATGTGAAACAGAAACCCTGAAGGACCATCCTGTCTTTTGGAACATTTAGCAGTCACTTTTCTGTGGGTCATATATGTCCAGTTCATATAGCACACCATTAAACAGTCCAGGCAAGAGCAGTTTCTTGCCCAAATGGCTAGCCTTGTCACATTAAAGGCAAATTTCATAATGAGCTTTTTCAAAACCCATCAATCTCTATAAAAGTTATTGGTGCTGCCAGAAGCAGACATATCTCACTGATGAGAAAAGTCTAAGTTCTTAAAACATTTTAAATGCCATATTCCATAGGTCTTTGAAGTGTTGAAGATTCTTTAAGTGAAATAATATATCTCTATATATCTAGAAGACCTAACTAACATGACTACAACTTTGACTATTACAAATTACTACCTATTAATCTGCAATTTTTAATTATACATTACATTTTTAAATGAGCTGTCCAATCACAATACTTTAAACAAGAACAAAAACACATACAACAAAATTGTACCAATAAACTATAAATTTGCATCAATAAACCAAAGTGCATATCAATGTATTCATCTCTATATCATATCTCCCTTGTTTGTTTTTTTTTTTAAAGAGATTGACTGTGACCATTAACAATTTATACCCAACCCCTTTTAAATGAAGACAAACATTTTTAAGTGATCATTTTGGGAATTTGGGCATTGTTTTCCCCAAACTGCATCCTGCTTTTTGTTGAGTGAAATATTTTTAGGGGTTCATGGAGACATTTCAGAGGGATCTTGTTCCATTAAACCACATTAGCCTGGAAGGAATCCACAGGTTCTCATCTTCTGTAGAGACCAAAGCAGAATCTCTTTTCCAAAGCAACATATCCCTTAGACCTAAATTTTGAAGTCAAGATACCTTTATGTTGGTTTAACTTAGCAGGCTCCAGAATCAAATGTCTCTCTGCAATCAAAAAATTTGAAGAAAACACAATAATATACATGATCCAGATTGTCTGTGTACATTCCATCTTTACATGGCTTATTTTTCTTTACCCCTTTAATCCTGACTGTCTGTACTCCTTTGTATTACTTTTACTGTCTCTTTGAAGTCTTTGTTTTATTTTTTAACTTTCTATATTCTTTTTCTTCTCTTTCCCAAGCCTATGTGCATTTATCCAAAACTATAACCTATTTAGAGGTTTGTCTCTGTCTGAATCTGTCTTTATTGCATATCTGAAATCATTTTCTGATCAGGAGTACTTTTTAAATGGTAAGCAGCTTAGCTGCAGCATCCCTGGATGCTGACTGCCTCTCTTGAACTTTCAATATGGCAGAGGTACATTTACTGTCAACTCTAAGATTCATGCTCATTGCCCCAGCTCCAGGGGTACAGCAGATCTATGTCACCATTAATCAACTTGTAGTACTCTGCTCACAAACCCCATTCAAATTCTTCATAGCCCGACCTCTCAAAAGAGCCAGAGTCATTTGTTTGTGCTGCCATTACAAACCAGGAAGCCATTTCTTTTCTTTTTTTTTTTTTTCATCACAAATAAGACTTTATTTGTCACTATTAAAAATCTGTATTTCACACAGATTCTTGGACTGGTGGTTCATATCCATCAGCTCGTTCAACCTTAGCACCTGTCTCATCAACAGTAGTTTTTCCAGAACTACCACCTTCACCATGGAGCTCCATGAGTTTTCCCAATTCAAAGTTGGGTTTCTTCAGCATTTTTACTTTCCTAATGAAGACATCATGAAGAGGATAAATTGACTGGCAAGCCTTTTCTATGTCTTTCCCAATGCTGTCTGGAATCAGTATATTAACCACTTCCTTCAAGTCATTTGTCTGCACCTCTCGGGTCATGATCTCCATCATCTTCTTCCGGATCTGGCGGACCTGCTGGTGCTGTGCATATGAGGTATTGCGGATCTGATTGTTGCATTTTTTAGTGAAACCAACACAGAAGAGTCGGAGCCAATAACCATCGGTTGTCTTGACATCAATGTGAGCTTCAATCATGGTCTGCCACTTTTTGACGAGGAAGCCATTTCTTAAAGAAGCTATGCATGCAATTTTTTTGCTGCTAGCACTGAGTCAGGAAAACTTCTCTTAAAGGAGTCATTCCTCTGCTTGCTGCCAGCAAACAGAGTCTATCTGAAAAATGCGGCTACCAAGAAGCTGTGCTTAACTCTGTTCTTTTGTGTCTATAATTCCTTCCTAAACTCTCTCAGTTTTTATATGGATGTAGTTGTTCAATGTTGGTGAGCCATTTTGCAAGCAGAGACTGTGCATTTGTTTCCCAGCCATTTAGACCCAAATAATCATACACAAACAATATTAATTACAACACTGTTTGGCCTATTAGCTCAGACTTCTTATTAACTAACACTTATATCTTGAACTAACCCATTTCTATTAATCTGTGTAGCACCACGAGGCTGTGGCCTACTGGTAAAGGTTCCAGGGCATCTGTCTCCTTCAGCTGCTGCATGGCATCTCTTTGATTCCACCTACTCTCTCTATGTATCTCTGTTCAGATTTCCCACCTGGCTGTACTGTGCTAAGCCATTGGCTGAAACAGCTTCTATATTAACCAGTGGTAATAAAACAAATTCAGAGCATACAGATGGAAATCCCACATCACATATTTTAATTTTCCATATTTTAATTGTACCTTTGGCATAACCTTCAGGTAATCAATGCTCATAGTGAAGGCCATAAATCCCTGTTAAAATAGACACATTGCTCAATGTTTCTCTGTCCCTCCCATCTTCATCAGTTGCTTTTTACATCAAAGTAAAGTAAGAAACCACATAGTAGTTTTTCTGACTGCTATTAATGGAAGTTTGATCTAAGAAATTCTTATGAGCATTCAAAGAAGAATGTGTAAGCAGAGGCGTAGGAAAACTTTTATTGAAAGATTGCACTTAATGAAGAAACAATGCTAACTTTGATATTGTATAGTCTGTCTTCATTAAAGTTACTGTTTTCATTACTAATGTGAAAGACCATGTTTCTTTGAGCATGGCAAATTTGTTGTGAGGGTCTTTGTTAAGATTCTCATAGCTACTGGGTGGTGATGGCTCACACCTTTAATCCCAGCACTTGGGAGGCAAAGACAAGTGAATCTCTGTGAGTTCAAGGCCAGCCTGGCCTACAGAGTGAGTTCCAGTACAGCCAAAACTACACTGAGAAACCCTTTCTCAGGGGAAAAAGAGAGAGAGAGTGGTGCTCATAGTTTTCTTACAAATTCCTATGTGTCAGTGAATATCTTTTAATTCATCATATTGACTTCTGTGTCTTTTAGGAATGAATGGTTAAGTTGCCTGAGACTAGGAGCGACTTTCTGAATATCAGTCTACCATTTGTGAAATGAATATATGATCTTCTAGACATCTAGAAAATCTGTTCAAACATTTGTGTTCATTTATAAGCATAAAGTGATAGGTGTTAGAATGTAAACAGAGCACTCAGAATAACTCTCTGATTTTATGCAAGAGAAATGTAAACTCAGAGATGAGTGGCTTTTCACAGTTAGATAACAAAAATATAATTCTAGGCCTTATTGAGCCCACGTTTATTGTTCCTTCTACTATGCTATTTAGGTCTCAAGAGATCACTGGCCACTCTTCCAGAGCACTGACTGCTTCTCCAGAGTATCCAGGTTTAAGTCCCAGCATTCATAGACACCAGGTACACATGCAGTGCAAAGAAATACATGCAAGTAAAACATTCATACAGATAAAATGTTTTAAAGAATTATTATATTCGGTTTAGGTTTACAGGAAAAACCTATTCACTGATCAAAATCTAGGCATGAATCATTTCTAACATTTTTTTTCCTATTATCAGTGTCATTCCTTGGGGAAATCCATATTATTTGTCGCAGTTCTATAATGAGAACACTAATTGTCTTGGTTTCCAATATTATGTTATTCTCAAAGCACTTACATTCATTCATACCATGTGTCTATTCTCAGGGTAACAGGGTTGGTTTTCAACCACCAGTCACCCAGCTTATTTTTGAAATTAGGAACTTATTTCCTCCAAATAAAAAATAAATTTTGAACTCTTGGACTACAGTAACTAATATTTTTCTGGTATGAAGTGTTGCTCAATGACAGATTGCTTGTTTAGCCTGTGCACATCTCTGGGTTTGATCTTCAGCAACATACACACATGCACATTCACACGCACATACTTGCTCACAAATTAGTGCAGGCCATATACAGTATACATTGTGACCCAAAGTAAATATCTTCATGTTAAGTTCAAGCATACATATGAAATATACATAGATCTATATGTAATTTCATTTAATGTTTTTGTCCATGGAGCAACCTTGAGTTTCTTCTGTCTGTGGCCTGTATTTCCTGTGGGTATTTGCCAGAAAATAGTCATTATAATGACAATTACTATTACTGCTAGATTTTCCTTTTCTTCATTTTTAAGCCCTCCCTTGTATAAGTAGCTAAAGAAATTTTCACATGAAAGACATTTTATTTATACACAATCTTTAAAGGATGAGTTTCATAATAATAGGATGTGAAAATTGGAAAAAAACATTATAGAAAACAACCTGTAGTGGATGCCATGTAACAAGACTTAAACAGGGGGCTCAGGTGGGGAGACCTAAAGCAAAGAGGTCTTCCACAGCTCCTCAACAACTAACAGATGTTAAAATCAGGGATTTTTTTTTATTTCTGGCATTACATATAATTACAATGTGATCACATGACATGTTGTCTCTTGTCAAAATATTATTTTACACATAGTTATGGATGCTGTAGAGATCATAGGAAAAATCTGATTTATGGTTTTTTTTAATAATGTCTATATTCTTTTAAAGGTATTATTTTTTGCTCTTGCTCACCTGAAATTCTTGTCACTTTTGTTGCTGTTGTTTTTGGTGTTGGTGTTGGTGTTGATATTGTTGCTGGTGGTGGTGATGGTGGTAGTGCTATTGTTGTAGGTGGTGGTGTGGTAGTCATGGTGGTGGTGGTGGCAGTGCTGGTGGTGGTGGTGGTGGTGGTGGTGGTGGTGGTGGCAGTGCTGGTGGTGGTGGTGGTGGTGGTGGTGTAGTCATGGTGGTGGTGGTGGTGGTGGCAGTGTTGGTGGTGGTGGTGGTGGTGGTGGTGGTGGTGGTGGTGATGGTGGTGGTAGTGTTGTTGTTGTTGGTGGTGGTGGTGGTGGTAGTGCTATTGTTGTAGGTGGTGTTGGTGTAGTCATGGTGGTGGTGGTGGTGGCAGTGCTGGTGGTAGTGGTGGTGGTGGTGGTGTAGTCATGGTGGTGGTGGTGGCAGTGCTGGTGGTAGTGGTGGTGGTGGTGGTGGTAGTGTATGTAGGTTCATGTTCAGAGGATGATGCTATATAACCTCTTTTGTCACGCTCCACCTTATTTTTTACAAACAGAGTATTGCTATGAATAAGAAACTCCCTATTTCTGCTAAATTGACTGGTGGATGGGTTCTGGGATCCATCTGCTTCCCCACACTAATGTTACTTGTACATGCAGCCATGCCTGGCTTTTACATAGGTACTGAGGATTTGAACTCAAGTCCTCTTGCTTTTACAACAAAGGTCATTACACACTGAGCCATTTCTCCAGACCTTCACCCTGATATTTTTAATAGAATGAATTATTATGAGTGAGTGATATCACAATTAATTAAGTCAGTTTTAGGAATGGTTTTATTTGGGGATCAATAGAATAAGTGTGGTCATGCAAGCTACAAAATAGTCCACCTGGTTTTGCTTGGTACTGCTCACAGAATTCACTGTCATTGGGGAGTGGATTCTGAATGCATTCATAAAGCATAATTTAACTTCAATCATAATATTTGTAGTACCCTCTTTTCCAAACAGGAATTTAGATTTTGTTGGTAATAGTGGTTATACAATTATGGCAGTCTCCAGGAGCCTCTCCTTTGTAATTTAGTAAATTGCTTTGAGAAACGTGTTTCTTGAGTTCCTGGGTCAGTTCATTTGAAGATAGAAGGCCAAAAGAAATGCCCAAATAGGCAGGCAGAACAGCACAGGCAAAATCTGTTTGGAAAGGAACTCTGTTCCCACGATTAGTGAGCTTCCCGAGCCAGCCTGTAGGTGGGTGTGTTTAACAGGGGGAAGCAATGGGAACCAGCCTGTCATCCAGCCTTTCAGGCTAATTAGCTCAGAACACAACAAAGATAAGTGAGCCTGAGAGGAGGGCCCTGAGGGTCTTTAGATTCTGGGAAATGTCTGATTGGCAGATGTTAAAAGGGATTCTTCCGTAATCCAGTGCATCAATGAACTGCACAAATTCAGTCCAGAGTTGCGAGAATTCAGGCATGCGGACGCTGTGCAGCCGGCTTGCACAGTCAGAGCCGAGATGGACAAAACCCTGGAATCTCTAAGGCACATCATTGCCCAAGCCTTGCCGCACAGAGACCCGGCTTTGGTCTTCAAAGACTGTAAGTACTGAAGGAGAAAACCATATTTTTTTCTGACTTTTTAGAAAATAGCCGTAAGTGTCTAGTCACTTCCTATTTAACTATGATTTCTGCTAGATCTTTGTAGTCTTGTGTTGTGGGCTAAGCGATATTTAAATTGTTTCCAACTTCAGTCAGGAAAATGATTCCATTTTAGCTACATCCACGAGGTTCTGAGTTATTTTGCCAAGACACTACTGTATAGAAGACTTTCTTTCTAAACTCTAAAATGTGCCAAGTCTTAATGAACTTTTCCAGATGCTTTTTAAATAAGGCAAAGCTGACTAGAATTTGGTGAAAACTAAAAATATCTTGGAAATGATAATAAAAATGCATCTCTAGTGGTTAATCTATTTAATCTTCCAAAACATAGCTAGTCACATTTAAATCAAGTACTATTTTTATCTAAAAATATTTGTAGTAAACAAAATTTAATAATAAATTGCCACTGAGCTCCTAAATTTTAATAACAAATTATAAAGCCAATAAAATGAGATATCTTTCTCACCTCAGCCTTATTCTCCACATCCCCACACCCACCCCACATGGCTTGGCAAAGTTATTTTCAAATCTTTTTCTAAAATGATTATGAAAAATAATTCAGTCAAGCTTTCCAATTCGAGCAATACTATTAAACCATTTGTCATATAACTTTGCTTCTGGAACCAATTTGATTTCTTGCTGCTGCAAAACAGACTATCTTCACAGTGTATCTTATCTACAGTGGATATCAGATTACAAAGGGCTTCTGAAATAGAATTGCGCTTTGGAACTGCCCAAAAGGTGAAAATGCATATGGAATGTCTTTCAGCCTGCAATGCGTTACAGCTTTCTTCCTTGTGACTCTAGTGATGTCTGTCTCCATCAAAGTATCAGTGGTTTGGATTTCGCGTCTGATTAGTGAATAACAGTCCTCTCCAGATGTCCTTGTAGCTTATATTTCTCATATGTGTGGTGAAGAAAGAGAAACGTTGGGCCACTTTATTCTATAAAATTTCCCTCTTAGAAATTAAATCGTAACCAATCTGGCCTCCAAGGTATAAAATGAAAGCTATTTTCTTTCTTATTTTTTTTTAAATATTGCCTTCAAGCATTTGTCAATAGCTATGTTAGAAATAATAAAAATCACTCCATCCTGAAGCCTAGCCTGGAGTCTATTCTGGCTTGTTATGTTTCCCTCAGTGAAAGGAAAGGAAAGAATGTCTCTCCCCTACATTGCATTCAGCTCTTAGTGAAGGGCAAATGGCACTGGCATGTCCAAAGCTTTGGGTAAACTGTAAGGAGTTACATCTAGACTTTGGAGAGCAGAGGCAGTAAAAAGAAATGGAGGGAAAAGTGAGGCTGCATGGTCCAGGTTTTAAGCTGAACTAATTTCTTCCAATTGCATACTGTCTGTCACCAAAATGTTTGCAAGAATGCTATTTTTTTCTTGTTTTTTTTTCCCCTGAGACTCTTATAATCCACACAGAAATTCTTTCATATGGAAAAAATGTGTCCCATTTCATATATTTCATTCATTCACAGCAACAACAACAAAAACCCCTGAATGTGGCATTTTTCATTGCCGACTTTCCCTGGCACAGCTGCTGCTCCGTAGCTGGCGGCAGCTGCTTGTGTCACTTCGTGAGTGTGAAAGTTTGAGTGCTGGTCCTCTCTCTTCTGGCTTCTCTAACCTGGGAACAAAGTGGCTAAGTGACAAATGTCTCTACTAATATTTGTGGAAGAGTAGAAAAGGGTCTACTTTCTGCGTGAAGACAGTAGATGTCTTTTGGGGACCGAGCCACATCTTAGCAACTCTGGTTGCTGTACATGTCAAAGTCTGACCTATGAACCTAATTTTTTTTTTTTTTGGCACATCTATAAGTTGCTGCCACTACACTCCTGCTGGCAACCAAAAGAAAAGTGTCATCAGTCCTAAGTGGCAGATTCTGTCTCCTGTCCTCCTCACTCTAGGCTTCTCCCGTGACACAATCCATCCAGTCTCTGCCAGGAGGGAGGGCCATGCACTTGAACACATCACTGCTAATTATTTAAGAAGAATTGCTTCCTCGCTTTTTTTTTGGAAGATGAAAAGGGACTTCAGAAATTTATAAAAACCCTTGGGACTGGAGAGATGATGCAGCAGTTAAGAGCACTGACTGTTCTTCCAGAGGACCAGGTTCAATTCCCAGCACCCACATGACAGCTCACAACTGCATAAATCCAAGAGAAGATAAACATGCAGGCAAAATGTCAATACATGTAAAATAAAAATAAACAAATTATTCAGGAGGGAGAGAGAACTGGGAATGGTATGTAAAATAAAAAAAAAGATTGTTTAAAAAATAAAAATGTAAAAAAAAGGAAGTTATAAAACTCAACTCAAGTGAACAAAGGACTATTTTTTTTTAATGTCAGGTTGTTTCTAAACTCCTCTTCAAGAAGACAAAGTGCTATTTCCTTTGTTCTCTGGACACAATACAGAGAACAGAAATGGCCTCCTGAGTTATTCACCACCCTTGGTTGGCTTTTGATTTGCTTACAAACAAGCAACAATTGGTAAATTTTTTCTGGAAGATGATTAGGAAAAGCACTCTGAGCATTTTCTAGTCTGAGTCAGATCCATGTGGGAATGGTTACATTCGCTTAAGGAACTACATGTTGAATGTATTGCTCAGCCAGGAAGGCCCTTCAGATGCCATTTTTACAATATGTTAAGTCTGTTCTAGTTTAGATGTTGTTCATCTGTGATAGTTGTGTATTTTTAAAAAGTATTATTTTCTTTCTCAAAAGGAAAGGAATCCCACAACATTTTTTTCTTCCTAGTTGACATTCAGATGAAAGAGGTTTGGGATAAGGTAGGCTCCCTGTATGAAATTTGCTTCTGAAGGCTGGCACCAGACTCTTCTCCACAACAGGAACACTCAGTAACCGGCAGCACTGGATAGCACCACACAACCAGACAGAGCATGTTTTCAGAGAAATCATGGCAAATGCCCATGCTGCCTTCCATTCTGAGTTCTGTGCCATCCAGTTTTATTCCATGAGTCATGAGTCACAAGCGAAGATGAGCCCCTGCCCTCTCTTGTGGAGCATGTGCTTGCTGTTTGCTTTCTACTCTTTGACCAGTCCTTGACTTTTTCTCGAAAGAAACTACTGTATGATTTCAAGACGACTATGTAGCAGCAGATCCTCACCTAGGTACTAATTCTTCACATTACAAAAGATAACATACCTGCCATCTCTAAGGTGTTACTTCATCCATTATATAGACACTAGGTAGGATGTTAAATCTTCATAAGATAACAGATAATATGCCAGAAACACTTATTCTTCACAGCAAGCCAGTAAATGCAGATACTGCTGTAGTACTGTAGTACCATTGTTATAAGTCAGGGAACAGAGCCAAATTGCCCATGTCCCACCATGGTAAGACATAGAGGCTAGATACAAATATCTTCCATCTTCTTACTTTTTGTTGCTCACTATATGACACTGGTTCTTAGAGGTGCCCGGCACTACTATATTATCAGAGCTGTAATGGCAATGTCTGTAGGGAAAACAGAGAGAGGAGAGAAATGAACTTTTCTGGGAGGTGAAGGAGCCTAATAAGTAGTCATATTTGAACAGAATATGGCAGGGATGCAGACATGGGGGCGTTTTTAGAGGAGGAGACGCCACTTGGCCAAAGGCTATACAAGGAGGACGGAATGAGTGAGAGCTGAATAGAAGAAGCAGGTTGATTGTTGCTGACAGATCGGCCATCAGAAGGTGAAAGAGTTAGGTATGATTGTAAACTGCGTGTGGAAGTTCATGTCTTTATGCGATGCTGTTAAAAGTGTGCTGGTAATGGCTGGGAAGAACTGCAGCTTTCATCAGTAGGAAACCATTTGCCAACCCAAGTAAAATGTAAGTTAGTAAATGGTAACTATGCTTCGGGGAAGTTGTTACTTTCAGTATGGATTGTCATTCCAGCCACAAGAATTAGTAGATTACTGGGTGAGCTTTACAAAGTTGTATTTTAGATTTCACTAGTATTTTCTCCACATTCTGAGATGAAAAGGTAAGATGTAGTCTTTGTTAAGTGTTGCTCAGTTAGATGCAAATTTCTCACATATTTTAGGTGCATTAGCTTTTTTTTTTATTTGAAAAACATTTCTCTGCATGGAAGGTTTTATATATACATACATACATATATAAGATAGGTGGATACTTAACTTCAAAGAGCACATTTTTACCCCCTGGAAAACTCAGAACAGACTACAAGTCTATTAAAAACATCTTAGTAATCATGAATCTGGCTGTATATGGCCTGGGAGAATAAAAATCCTCAAGAGTCAAATATTTTTCCGTCCCATTTTCTTTAGTGCAGTTACTTGAAATCTATAAATTTGATGATACATTTATAGTTTTCACATTTCACAGAGAGGGATGCATGTAAGGGATGTAAAATTCCTTTTGCACGCTGCAGTACATTCCGCCATATAAACTGCCCTTGAAAGAACACCATTTCATCTCAGAGCAATGATTCCATCCTAATTGTAACAGAGTAGATGCTGATACTTTTGGTACTAAATTAGAAATGTGTGCTTTAAGGAAACCCCTTCAAATGCCAGTTTTTCTTTATTTGTAACAGGATACAATAACTTTTATTTGAATCAGCTCATCTATCAGTGGTATGAAAAATATTCTCTTTATCTTTTTTCAGAAAATGTTCATTTGACACTTTAAATATTGAAATACAGCCTAAAGATAAAATATTTTAAAGTCTTTTAACTGGGGTGGGAAGGGTGACTTCTCATTCAGTTAAAGGCCATTTCTGTCCTAATACCTTTTTCCTCATATATTAATATATTTAAAAAATAAAATATGATAGACTATCATTCCATGGAATTGAGATTGGTCTGAGACGTCTTTATAGGCTGTTGTCCCATCTCACCAGAGGTTTTTATTTTTATTTTATTTTTTTTAACAACTGAGATTTGCTAGCTTGAACTCAATTC